GGGCGTGTTAGAACGAGCCGTTTTAGGTAGGCGTGGTTGACTCTTAAGTTTTATAAAGAATATCTCTTTGGATTTGAGACTTTAGTCTTTGCAACTTTACAGATCTTCTTTATGCACCAAGAGCTTGTGACACTCCAAAGAGAAAGGAAAAATTTAAATCGCATCATATGACCCCTTTAAAAAGTTTCAAATCAATCCAATTGATTATACATGCTTTTTAATTATTAAAAAGTAGTAAACCATTAAAGCGGAATTGAATTAAAATGGAAAACATAGAATTTGGGAAAAAATAAAATACTTTATAGTTGTGCCCCAAATTGTTATTTTTGTTAAACGTTTAATTAATACATTTTAATTCATCGTTTTTAATTATTTTAGTAATCAATTAATTTATAATTCAACCATTACAATTAAATAAAACTGGGATTTGGGAATTTTTTTTTACTAATAATGTCATGACAAGCCAATAGTTCATAAAAAATGGAAAATCCTTAAGGATTCACTCTCTCAACCATCATAATGACCTTTATATCATTCCAAATCCATGAAGTCCTAGATGTTTTGAAGAACATTTCAGAGTAAAAAAAAACATCTCAAGCTCCTGATGAGTAGTTCATTTGATAAATGGCAAGCAGAATGGGAAAAATGTCAAAATGACAAATGGTTTGAAATAAATCGTGTGGTGGGAGAAATGTGAAATCCAGACATGACTAAGTTGTGGATAGAAGGTTTACTATAAGCCATATTACACTGACTCATGGGCATTTATTGATAATACATATTGTTTCTGGTCTGCCAAATTTTTATTATCATGAGACAGTGATTTTTAACTTAGATTGACCCAAAACTTTGTAAAATGGACCCAAAAGATTTGAATTATGTAAAATATATGAGAAAAATCTATATCAAATCTGTATCTGCTATGCAGTAGCCTGTGAAGCTGATATGGCAATAAATTTAAATACAACCAACAACAACAAAAAAAGTGCTTTGAACTATTGAATTCAAAAGCGTTGCATGATGTTTCTTCAAAATGATGTTTGTCAATAAAATATTGACATAATTTTCATTTTAGGTTGCTCTCCTTATTTTAATTGTCTGTTTAGTTCATTTTCATAATTTGATTTTCTCTTTCCTCAGGTGTCCTGATAACCGGCAGCTCGATCAGATTCTCAGCGACTACATTCATCCTTTAGAGTCAGATCCAGTCAAACGGCAAAAGTATGCATAAATATTCACGTTTCATCAATGCCACATTTATCCGACTCTTGTGCTATCTTGTGTTGGTAACAAGCCTCCACAGGTTTTCATGGGTGCGGTTGCCAGATTTCAAGAGTTTGAATCTCTCGTATGCATTTCCTACCCGGTCTTTTACTTGAGCTTCCCAAACTGGCGACCATTACCACACTTTACTACAAAAAAGCAAACTTCTTATATGCTGGATTTTAGTGATCACAATTGAGACATTCTGCTCAAGAAAGTGTCTTACAGCCAGTCTGTGTTTTCAACATTTGCTGCGACTAAATCTAAATCTAAACGCTAATCTTTTGCCGTCTCATGTTTGGTATCCGCTATTTTTGACCAAAGTAATATTACAGCGACCAAAGACTCGTTATGTTCGGCGATGTGTTGTTTATGTTCGCAGCGCGCGCTCTTGAAGTGTTGCCATGTCCACTTATTATAAGCGCCACTTATTAAAGCACAGATTTATCTGCCAGAAATCGGTATCGGTCAATAAAACCAGTTATCTACACTATCGACCATCAGCGGATTGTTTAAAAACAGTATTAGTTACTATAAAAACACTAGAGGGAGCTTATTTACTATTTATTATATGTGTTTGAATAAATATGTCATGAAAACAAGGTTTTATGCACAAAAGTACCAAATGTGCAATTGGGTTTTATACAATTGTTTCCATTTGAGTGTGATTATTATATCTGAAAATCTATAGCATTGAATATAATTGTGTTGTTGTTCATTTGAACCTCTAATGTACCAAATGAGAGGACTGTCTGTATAGTTAACAGCATTAGTTGGGAGAGATTTCTTTTTTTTAAGAAAGCTAAACTATCGATATCGGCAGATATCATTCTGAATAATCGGTTATTGGTATCGGCTGAGAAATTTAGTATCGGTGCATTCTAGGGCTGTGAATTAATGCTGAGCTGACATCTGATCGTGGCGTGTGACGTTTTCACATTTCTTGATCGTCTGCTTCTCATTTCTGATGTTTAATGCGATCTCGATTACTTTTTACGGTTAAAATGTGGCGTAAGTGCAGCATTGTCAGTCAGTGAGATTGTGTCTGGCCCTTTTTGGTGGTTTATTGATGTCAGACTCACAGGGAAAACTGGGACAGATTAATTTTTTTACTTTTCTACACACAATGCAGTAATGACTTGACAATTAACATGATGAAGTGGAGCATTTTCTCTCTATTGTTTCTTCATGGAACGGTTTTAGGGCCATTTGGATCAGCACGTCATTATTATGGCTTGCAGACCAACAAAACGTCTGTAAATGCAGAAATGAAGCTGCGGTTTGGAGTTAGAAATAAACTCTTTACAGTGTGATAATAGGCCACAAAATCAACACTAGAATAGAGTTGGGCGTCTTTTGCTCTTAAATCCAGGCATCTTTCAGGGAGGGTTTGATAGTTGTGTAAATGATTGTGAAAAGCAATGCTGACGTTCAACAGCTAAAGACTTTTACCCTGGAGATCAGTGCTGATTCATATTATTCCATAACAGAAACTCATTAAGCATGTACAGACGAGTCGATTAAAGAGGTGGAATATTATCTTTAAAGGAATAGTTCACCCGCAAATTAACATTTGCTGAAAGTTTACTCATCCTCAGACCATCCAAGATGTGGATGAGTTTGTTTCTTCATCAGATTTGGAGAAATGTAGCATTGCGTCACTTGCTCACCAATGCATGTGAATGGGTGCCGTCAGAACTAGAGTCCAAATAGCTGATAAAAACATCACAATAATCCACAAGTAATCCACAGCACTCCAGTCCATCAATTAACATCTGGAGAAGACAAAAGCTGAAACAAATCCATCATTAAGACATTTTTAACTAAAAAACGAGTCCATAATCCATAATAAAGCTTCCTCCAGTGAAGAAGTGGTCTGGTCTGAATCAGGAGAGAGATCTGGACAGATCAAGTACGGTTTACAAACCAAAACAACTCTAAACAAATATGTGGATTGATCATGATGTGAGAGACAACAGGAGATGGACTTTTTCACCGGCGGAAGCGTTATTATGGACTCAGATTTTAGTTCAAATGTAACGTCTTCATGATGGAGTTGTTTCTTACAAACATGCAGCTTTAAAGAAAAACAACAACAACAGAATTTCTGAAAAAAATAAAACATTTTATAGGACCCTATTATTGTATAAGTATTAAGTTGTTACATTTTTATAAATTCAGTTGATTATATGTAATACAATTTTATTAAACTATTAAAATGGAATCCAGAAAAATTTAAATGGAAAACATGGAATTTGGGGGAAATGTCATTTTTGTTAAACCTTTAATACATCTTTGTTAAATTGTATAAATGCTTTTTGATTACTAAAATTGAATCCCAAAAAAATGTAAACAGAAAAACGGACTTTAAGAGAAATTAAGAAAAAAAAAAAAAAATAAAATGTCATTTTTGTTAAACCTTGAATAAATTGGTGTTTAACTGAAGAACTTTAATGTTAAGTATCAGTTAGTTAAAATTGCTTTTGGAGTACTAAAATTAAATCCAGAAAAAAATTAATTGGGGGGGGGGGGGAAAATGGAATCCAAAAAAATTTAAACATTAAAAAATTGAATTTTGGAAAAGAAAATTAAATGGGTTTTATAGGGCCATACAACTCATTCATTTTAATATTTAATTCATATGCAGACACAATGTATATTTGACCAAATAACTCATTTTACGCATTTCAGCTGTTTTTAAGATCAAACACACAGCTTTTGTCTTCTCCAGATGTTAACTGATGGACTGGAGTGCTGTGGATTATTGTGATGTTTTTATCAGCTGTTTGGACTCTCGTTCTGACGGCACCCATTCACATCCATTGCTGAGCAAGTGACGCAATGCTACATTTCTCCAAATCTGATGAAGAAACAAACTTGTCTATATGTTGGATGACCTGAGGGTGAGGACACTGTCAGCAAACGAACAAATCTCTGCCGATCTTACAACCCTCTTAATCGTAGCTAATTGTGTTTAGAAAACATCCAACAAACCAAATCAACTGAACTCCTCCTAAACGGTCTCACATGTCCTCGTCTCCTGACAGACAGCAGGGGGTTCGAATGAATCAGCATCACGTCCAAAGCTTTCTCCCTCGTCTCTGTTTGTTACGCAACAGCGAGAGCAGCGACTGGATTGTTTATATTTCAGGAATCATCTGTCAGAACATGTTCCACGCTTCCATCGAAATGCCTTTGTGTGCTTTGGAGAAAATCTGAGCCGGTGAGCGCTGTCAGCTTCGGCTCGGCTCGGCTCTGTCTGCGTGTGTTTCAAATGAACGATGGCTTTTATCAAGATAACCATCGGCTTCAGGAACACAATGGAAACGCGTCACGGCGGGTTGAGACGTCGGACACTGGATAGATGAGAATGGGTTTCACTAGCGGTCAGGAGTTTGGACACATGCACTTACTCTGAGCGATTCCCACTCTGAAATCACACTAATGGAGTTCAGTCATGAGCATGGAGTTAATTGTAACCTGGAATTTGGATGAATAAATCAAAAGTAGGGCAGTAACTTAATCAGACTGTGATTTGGAGTAGTGTCTGTAACCATTTCACCATTTCATTTGATAAAACCATCATCAGATACAGAAATGTAAAGGTCTTCACTGCAATCCGCCAAAATAGTTCAATATGTCTTCAAGAAATTGCGACAGAACTAAATTACTATTGTACAGTAGAATGTACTTTACAAAATAAAAATAATACATTATTACAACTTTCATTTTAATACTTTTTTTTTTTGTATTATAAATATTTCTGCTTGATTTCTTCATTTTTAATGTATTGTTTATTTACTGTTATGATTAATTTATTAATCATTTATTTGTTAATTTGGTTCCCAAATTTGTACAGTTAACAGTTTTATTAATTTACTTTATACACACACACTCACTCACTCTCACACACACTCTCTCACACACACACACACACACACTCTCTCTCTCTCTCTCAGACACACTCTCTCTCACACACACACACACACTCTCTCTCTCTCTCTCACACACAGACACACTCT